GGGAGAGTATCCAGTACAGGGGCACGGAGGTGGCATCGCTTATTTTTTTTTGCGGATGACGTTGGCCTCTTTGCCCCGTCAGTCTGTGATCTCTAGCATGCACTTGGGTGGTTTTATGTCGAGTGTGAAGCAGCTGGGATGAGGATCGGTACCTCCAAATCTTTAGTCACGGTTCACTGGGTGCTTTGGTCTCTCCAGGTGAGAGGGGGGAACAGTGGAGAAGTTTAAGTCCCTCGGGGTTTCATTTGCGAGTGATGGTGAGCCGGCCTATGGTCATGATTACGTAAGAAGTAAGTAAGAACATTTGATATTGTGCAGTCTGATGAGTCCAGTCCATCACGAATGCGCATTGATCACGCGTTGAAGCAGGCAACAGCAACACTGTTTTGAGTCTTACTCCTCGGGTGTTTCGGTAAAGTCGCGTAGATAGCTTCAACATTCATGAAAAATATACAAAAAAAAGACGTTTCGATCGCGACACAAGCGACCGTCTTCAGGTGGATTTATTAATTTTGATCCCAGCTACGTGACTTTACCGAAACACCCAAACATTATGAATCCCTGCAGTCACGAAAGCTCTATTGTCAGGATTTGTTTTGAGTCTATTGCGGAATTGGTTCAGGCTCAGGGATGGATCCGGAATATCACCCTTGGGTAATTGGTGTCTCCGCAGGGTTGCCAGATTCACTCTCCCTGATCGGGTGAGGAGCTTGCTGATCTGGGAGAGCCTCAGGGTCAAGTTCCTGCTCCTCTGAATTGAGAGGAGCCAGTTGAGGTGGTTCGGGCACCTGGTCAGGATGCCCTCCGATAGACTCCCTCTGGTACTCTACCGGGCAGCAGCAGCACCTCCCACATGGTGAAGACTGTCTAGCTAGAGTACGTGTCTAGTAGTGTATAGTAATGTAGTGTATAGTGTAGTGTATGCTATAGTAGTGTATAATGGTATATGGTTGTGCATATAAGTGTAGTGTATAGCAATGTGTAGTGTAGTGTATAGCAGTGTATAGTGTAAAGTATAGCGTAGTGTATAGTAGTGTAGTGTATAGTGTAGTGTATAGTGTAATGTATAGTAGTGTATAGTGTAGTGTATAGTAGTGTAGTGTATAATGTAGTGTATAGTAGTGTAGTGTATAGTGTAGTGTATAGTAGTGTAGTGTATAGTAGTGTAGTGTATAGTAGTGTAGTGTGTAGTAGTGTAGTGTGTAGTAGTGTAGTGTATAGTAGTGTAGTGTGTAGTAGTGTAGTGTATAGTAGTGTAGTGTATAGTAGTGTAGTGTATAGTAGTGTAGTGTATAGTAGTGTAGTGTAATGTATAGTAGTGTATAGTAGTGTAGTGTATAGTAGTGTATAGTAGTGTAGTGAATAGTAGTGTAGTGTGTAGTAGTGTAGTGTATAGTAGTGTAGTGTATAGTAGTGCTTTGTATAGTAGTGTAGTGTATAGTAGTGTAATGTATAGTAGTGTATAGTAGTGTAGTGCATAGTAGTGTATAGTAGTGCAGTGTATAGTAGTGTAGTGTATAGTAGTGTAGTGTATAGTAATGTATAGTAAAGTAGTGTATAGTGTAGTGTATAGTAGCGTATAGTAATGTAGTGTATAGTGTAGTGTATAGTAGTGTAGTGTATAGTAGTGTAGTTTATAGTAGTGTAGTGTATAGTGGTGTAGTGTATAGTGTAGTGTATAGTAGTGTAGTGTATAGTAGTGTAGTGTATAGTAGTGTAGTGTATAGTGTAGTGTATAGTAGTGTAGTGTATAGTGTATAGTAGTGTAGTGTATAGTGGTGTAGTGTATAGTGTAGTGTATAGTAGTGTATAGTGTAGTGTATAGTGTAGTGTATAGTGTAGTGTATAGTGTAGTGTATAGTAGTGTAGTGTATAGTAGTGTAGTGTATAGTAGTGTAATGTATAGTAGTGTAGTGTATAGTAGTGTATAGTGTAGTGTATAGTGTAGTGTATAGTAGTGTAGTGTATAGTGTATAGTAGTGTAGTGTATAGTGTAGTGTATAGTAGTTTAGTATATAGTAGTGTAGTGTATAGCAGTGTAGTGTATAGTGTAGTGTATAGTGTAGTGTATAGTAGTGTAGTGTATAGTAGTGTAGTGTATAGTAGTGTATAGTGTAGTGTATAGTGTAGTGTATAGTAGTGTAGTGTATAGTAGTGTATAGTGTAGTGTATAGTAGTGTAGTGTATAGTAGTGTATAGTAGTGTATAGTGTAGTGTATAGTAGTGTAGTGTATAGTGTAGTACTGGAGTACGTTTCAACACGCTGCCTCCGTGACTCTCACCAGGACAAGCGGATTGACAAATGAATGAACGAATACAAATTGACTCTGCTTATGCCTCCAATGAGTCGTTAATACTCGGCAGGGGATAAGTGTCACCCCGAGTCATCTGATTCAAGTGGCTAAGAACTACGCAAATCCTCAGTGAACAATCGGGCTTCTTTACAACCACCACCAGTGGGGCCTCGGTGGCTGGTTGAGGGAGATTGTGAAATATACTCTCTGCATTTTTTTTGCTCCTTGAAGAATTGTTCTTATAAATACGCAATCCTTGATTTAGACCTTACACGTAATGCGGATCTTAAAACATGACCGTGTGGCTCATTTAAAAAAGCAATGCAATTGAACTCGAAGAGCAATGCAAGTAGAATTCAATTCTCTTTTGAACCTTTCCTGCAAAACAGAACCCAACGTCCCACACGTTAATTGCCGTATGGTCACTATTTTGATCGTCTCCTTTATTATTATTATTTTTTTAAAAATTCCCTTGGTGTGTTTTGTATTTCGTGTTCGTCTTGGTCACCACTTTGAAATGCTGCTTTCATCAAAGCACAACATAAGTGAATCTTTTGATACTTATAAATTTATTGATTCAAACCGAGAGTTATTACCCCAATAAAACATTTCATTGTGACTTTGAAAACATTCTCTTAAACTGATACGTTCGCTATCTAGTTGCACAGCCACTATATCATGCTCTTGCTCCGGAACATACAAACAAGTATTAATTAATACAAAATAACTTTGACCCCTTCAGCAGTATACATTTTACACAATCCGGATTCGCTTAACAAACAAAAATGCGACATCCAAACAATTCTTAGTTCATCGGTTGTTGGAATACCAACCATATTATTGAAATCAGATTCTTATTCCCAAAAAATATAACATGCACAAATTACAAATATCATATGGCAGATAGCAAAGCACTATGCCAACACTCCACTTCGCAAATATGACTTAAAAAATATATTCCTGTATTGTATTCAGATAGAATCATCTTTATGTATATATTAAGTTGCATGCGATCGAAAATAACAACTCAAATTCCAGAACGACTCCCAATTGCTCACGCACCTGATCTACAATGAACAAATTGGCAATAGACGTAAATAACTTAACGTTGTTAATGTTAAATATGAAGCTTCGTGTAAAATAATTATATCAAAAGTCGATCATTTGTGTTGTCTTTTGTAAGCGGTTGGCAGTTGTAGAACTTGATCTTTCCACTCGTCCACCCTTCTAAAGCATTCGTCAGCAATGATGCCACTTTCATTCGTTGTTTTTTTTTTATGAATCCATCTCTGTCGTCTTCTTCATCGCCTTCCATATCCCTTCAAAGTGACGTCTTCCTGCCGCCTGTATTGCCAACAATGTCGAGATGATGAATGTGTTGTTCTACTTATTGAGCTCAGCCTATTCCTTGGTATTTGTCGTTTTCTTGATCCGGTTTCCACTCAGCATTTACATTTTAAAGTTGCTTGCTTTTGTCCATTGATTTTTTAATGATATGTTACAATTAATATGATAGTTTTCTTCCTTGGTTAATCCATCTTCATTGTGGTGTTAAAAATAATGTAGACTTTGCAATAACTGACAATGGATCTGGAGGAGAGGAAGATGAGAAGGCTGTGTGGACAATATTTGCTCCTACGCTTATCTGGATAGCACCGAAAAACATTCTAATGCACAAATCCTCCCCTCAAGTAATATAGCATATTGACATCGATGCATCAAACGTAGGGATAGTATACATTGTATGCAAAACTGTTATTATTTCTTCACATTTACCAACCTGTGACAATAGGGTTTTCCCCTTTTTTCTGGCAACAAAACAGGTGTTAAGATTTTTATTGAAAGCTTTCGTAACTGCAGGGATTCATATTCTTGGTTCTTTCGGTAAAGTCACCACGTAGAAGGGAAACAATAATATAATAAAAATATAAAACAATAAAATTCTGATGATGATTGCTTGTGTTGCAGTCGAAACGTCGTGAGAATTTTATTGTTTTATGTTTTTATTATTTTATTGTTTCCCTTCTACATGGTGACTTTACCGGAAGAACCAAGAATAATAATTTTATTGTTGTACAATAATTTTATTGTTTGATATTTTTAATATTTTATTGTTTCCCTTCTCCGTGGTGACTTTACCGGAAGAACGAAGAATAATAATTGTATTGTTTTGCAATAATTTAATTGTTTTATATTTTTATTATTTTATTGTTTCCCTTCTACGTGACTTTACCGAAAGAACCAAGAATATAGGTGTTAAGATGTTAAAACACCAAACTGAAACCTTTTACAAGGAATCATGTCTGCATTAACCAGCATACTTGCGGTCAGAATGCAAACAAAAAACGTACTCTGATAATATAAAAGCATTGTCTTTGAAACTGATTGGTCCACACCAGAGACGGCTTTCTTTTGAGCCTCGTCTCAAAACGGTGTTAGACCAGAGGACGCCAAAAGGCGTTACACATTACAACCTGCGTGATTATATATTTACCAACCTGTGTGATTATATGTCCATGTATGAAACTGTTGTTATGGTCATTATCATTAGTTGCTGAACGTTCGGCTTCAAAAAAGCAATGGCACTTCCATAAATGCGCATTTTTATACATGTAAAAAAAACCAGATTATTTTTCGATTTAAAGCTTTCGTGACTGCAGCGATTCATCTTCTTGGTTCTTTCGGTAAAGTCACCACCACGTAGAATGGAAACAATAAAATAATAAAAAATAAAACATGATAAAACAAAATGAAATTCTCACGACGTTTCGGCCACAACACAAGTAGCCTTATTCAGGTGAAGAAACAGAACTGTCGGGACGACAGCGCTTGAAGACAGCACTTGAGCTTTTCAGCTTTGGATTTGACTTCAAATGGCCATATGCTATCCCATGGTAATATATTATTATGCAATTGTGGATGAACGTAAAAGTCCGAAAGGCAAAATACCAGTCTTGGGCATTCATTAGAGGGGATGAGCAGCTGATTAAAACTCGCGAAGAGAGTACCCAGGGGAGAAGGCTCTGCCTCATGAAATAGGGGTCCGACACCAACATGAAGAAGAAAACGCAATGCTGGTGAGTATTTGCGGGAACTTGAAGCACAAAGTTACCATTAAAACATGCAATATTGATTTTGGATTAAAATCACAAGTGTTAAAGTAGATATACAATTTCATATTAAGCACGTAGTTATCTGATGTGTAATTTACCGCTTTCATTGACATTTCTATTCTTAATTTTGTATTTACATTTGAAGTGCATCACAAACAAAATGCACGTTTAAACAAAAAATGGTATAGAGGAACAAATACATTGGAAATGATTGTAGATATTTCTTTATGGATGACTTAAAAAGATGCACATATTGATTTCGCGCGAAAATATTCACGTCTTAAGGCAGATGATCATTTTACTATAACACCCACAATGTCTCAAGTTAAATGTATGTTCATATGCATGCATGTAACGATCGTTAAATGCAATGCCATTTTAGAGATGTTGCTGTTTGATGATGGATTGTGTTCGTTGTTATTATTAATAACATTAAAAACAATCTGCAGACTTTGAAACAGAGCCACGTATTCATAAGTTCATCTGTAACATAGGATGCCCATTTGTAGTTTTATTAATCAACCTACAGTTTCTCTAAATCCTCAATAACATCATGTTCTTTAATACATTCCCAATCTGATGGGATTTTTCCCAGCGACGCAAACTTTAGGTTATAACGCTTTTCTAAGTCTGACTTGAACTTGCAGACAAACCATTTCCAATATGGCTGTGTGGTTAAGTCTGGCGTTATGCTCCAACAAACATATTCCGGTCCGGCTGTACGATAACTCTTCCATGGTATTTTTCTGTCTGGAAACACTATGCTGCAGTTACTGGCAACTAAACTAGTGCAGATGTCGGTGGAAAAGTGATCGGTTTCGTGCCATTGTCCTCCGCATACTGCCCTGGGGCGGTGAATGGCAACACTGTGGTCTCCGTCATGATTGGACATCGTGTTTGTGCAGATGGCTTTACAGAACGGGCACTGCACCCAGCATCCACACAGCTGCCGAAAAAGTATTTCGTGAGGTTTGTTCTGAACGTTTTCTAAATCTTCTAAGCTTGCTGAAGAAAATCGATCTTTCAATCCTTGAGCCACGGTTCTTAGTCCGTTCGTTAATTCTTCTTTGAGAAATTCAATATCCGTTATGTCGCTGTAGTCCCCTTGGTCCAAAGTGTGTCTTGGGAGCTTGATGGCGTCATCAAGCTGTGTGCAAAACGCATCCAGCCACGAAGATAGGTCACACTCGTTGTCTCGTACAATTTCAGTCGCTTTGTCAATTGCACGAGTGATTGCAGCCGTGGAATCCCCAAGCCTCGACTTTAACATCTCATGAATTATTGCATTATCTTTTCCCTTGCAATACTCTTCGACACATTCCGTAATGTATTTCTGAAAGTGTTGTTTCGGTCGGTGAATATATTCATCAAACGCTTTGAAATCTTTCTTCTTCGCTAAATCTATGAGAATGTAGTTTTCCAATTTTGATCGATTTCCGTTGAATGCCGGATATGTGGACTTCATCCTGCCTGCAATGTCGATGCAAACTTTATCGTAGACTGCCTGTTGAACGGATGCTTTGAGTTTGTTATGCAAAAAATCCGCGAAAATAGTTGTGGACGTGGCGCCTTGGCAGCGGATTTTGAAGCTGTTTAAGTATTCTTCTTTCTTCCTGCTGAAGTATACCAATGGGTCGTTTTCCCTCCGGAAATTCTCATGCATTTCCTGAAATCGCTCCGTTACCTCCGCCAATATGTGGACAGATAAATCAATTTTGAACTTTTCCGTGAGCTTAAATCTATTATTGGATTGTGAAAATCTCTGTACGTCTGAATTCATTACCTCTAAAATTGCATGTACGTAGGATGGGTTGAAATTCGTTTTATGTATCTCCTGGGTGGTAATGCAGCTATTGACATTTAATTTTACATCACTAATTAGTTCTTTAATTGACTTAGTATCCTCATCTTTGAAACGGTAACTCCGATATCCCAGCCATTTCGCGTTCATCATAATGTGATCGTTTTGATTAATGTCAAATTCTGTCCCTTTATGATATTTCCATATCACTTTATTTAAGTGTTGAATTTGATTCTTATGCGCGTCGTAAAGAAGGTTTACAATTATTTTTTTTACATCAAGTGTTGCAGGGCTGGTCATACCGTTTTTAATCTCTTTAATCCAATCCTTCCAGATTTCATCAAAAGCCCTGTCCCATTCTGCTTCATTTACATTTTTGTCTCTCAATTTTGAAGCCAAATCCTTGCTCTTTATAATAAGCTGACCTTCATAACTTGATCTCTGTCGATCGATATTTCGTTTTTTGTCCTGTTGAGCCATCAGGGCAGAGTAGTTTTTGAAGGCATCAGACACTAGCTCTTCTTTCACTGTTTCAAATCCTTTCTCGAATTTAACTTTCCATTGAACCAACAATTCCGCATCATCTGCACTATTGAAATGTTCTTCAATCTTTTTTTTAATATCCTGATAGTTTGACAAAATTATTCGTTCAATCTGTGATCGTGTCATTGCATCTGTATTGTTATCGATGCCGTTATAGAGTTTGTTTTCCTGCTGAAGAACATGGCTTCTGAGTTCCCAAGTCCATTTTCCATACATTTCTTCCAGTTTGGTATAAGCTGCGATCTCCAATGTGTTCTTAAAGCTGAATACGAAGTTTTCCGCGAGCAAAGCCGTCCATAGATCGTTAATGCGTGCTTTGAATTCTGATATCTTCAAGACATTGACTGTTTTTTCTTTTTTCGCATTTCGAAGTAACATTTCTTTAAGGTCTTTAACATTTTGGCAGTAGCTTGGATTTGGCGGAGCCATCGGAGAGTCTCCCTCCCAAAGGTGAGCAAAGTAACGGATCTGAGAGTTCACGTCAAATCTGATCACCGCGTCAAATGACGCAACAGCGCACTGCTCCTGGTCTGCAGCCATGCGGGTCATCTCATCGAGTTTCTCCTGAAAGCGTCTCCTTCCCTCCATGTTCTTATCGTGAGCAGTCACTTCTCCTACGTTTTGATGGACAAACACACAGCTCGGTGATAACCTCACCTTCCTCATTCTCAGAAACGCCTGCACAGCAATTTGTAGAATGTCTTGCATTTCAGAAGGGTTCTCTCCAAAAATGTTGATCACGGTCATGTTGCCCAGCCCAATCACAAACGTTGCCAGCTGATTGTCACGACTACGTGTTGCATTTGACAGCTCTACAGAACGTAGTCCTTCTGTGTCGACTATCAGCACAAAGTCATATCCCAGCTGTTCACTGAACTCTGCCTCCACCTTGACTAACTGCATGTAGGCCCCTCGGGTGCATCTCCCATTACCAACAGGAAACTGGAGACCAAACATGGCATTAAGTAGCGTGGACTTTCCACTGCTCTGTATTCCCAGTATTGAGATTACAAACAGCTTCACGTTCCCAATTTCATCAATGATTGCGTCCAAGATTGAGCTAATCCAAATGAGAGGGACATGCGCAGCATCACCATCCATCAGTTCAAGGGGAAATCCAGAGATCAACATTTCTGCTGCAATCTTTGGCAAAGTAGCCGATATTTTGGCAACTGACGGGGTTGTCTGTGACGCTTCGAAGATCTGACCAACTTCCCGAAAAACGTGATCAATTCCGAAGGAAGAGGCATCAAGTTCGCCTGATATTTTATCCAACTCTGATTGTTTTATAGCAATGATACTCGTGTTAAAACCTTGCGTTTTCAACGCTTTAATTGCCGTCCAGGCCTGATGATAAGTGAGATGAAGTTGTGATAAGCGATCTGCAGACATCTCATCTAAGTATATGCGTAGCCAATGCAGAAAGTATGTTTTTACTGTGCGTGAGTAATGGTTCAAAATTTCAATCAATGAGCTCATGAATTCGTTAAGAGGAAATGCTCTTTCAAGCTGCGCTTTCCTAATGCGTGTTTTTTCTCCCAGAATGTTACTTTTGTATTCCTCAACGCTTTGGGCCCCCCTTACTGTCATGCGAGTCAATTCCTTGTCTTTCTTGCACCACGACTGCCACAGTTTCCCTTGAAGAGGCAGAAATGTCTCCTTTCTGGAGCACAGTGGACTGTCACTTATAAGGCTCAGCAAAACTTTCGCCATGGTCTTGCCATCTTTGCATTGTTCATCATCTTCATCAACAATGAAGCCATACTTTTTTGCAAGAGCTGAGTAAGCTTCGATGTTTTTCTTTCCTTCTGAATTGCCCAAAAACCAATTGATTATTGACGCCAATTCATCGATTAACTCAGCCTCATTTCGATTCTCGATGGCAATTTTTGCGTTTGTTCCAAATGCTCCACTGGAAACTTTCTTTTTGTCAGCACAGAGGCAAATTAGCGGCTTTGGGGATCTCAAACATTCGTCTAAGATGCGTTTGCCTTCTTCATTGCGATCACCATCTGACAGTAATATCACATTTATAGACGAAATCTCATGTAAAAATTCCACCTGCGTTTTGTGTTCTCTTGCATCTCCGTGGAGATTAGTGAATGCTATGCAGTCATTAAATACATCATCGTCCTTGCCACCGGGAAGATACCAGGCGATCTCTGCAACTCCTTTCATTAGTTGACCATTCCTGCTGCTGCCTCGGCAGTGCCTATTGAAGAAAACTCGATGCGTTTGATTGCCGAGCAGAGAGTTCATTATCTGAGATTTCGACGCGGGCGATTCACCAAATCTTACGAAGGACACGAGTGCAGCGTTGGCATCACTGATTGCACAGCTTTTAGATTTCCATTGTGTGGTAGACGCATCACGGAAATTCCAGGTCTTTTTAATCTGTCTGAATGACCACATGGGAAATTCTATTTCTGAACGACAAGGATTTGGAACTAAAAGCGGAAGTGCAAACTGGATGAATGAAAGTTTGTTGTAAATGTACTGCCTTACAAAATTGTCTCCACAATGGAATATTGCCATTTGTAAATCCATAGGGTGAATGTGGGTTTCAGTGTTTGTCCTAGGCACATCGCTGTTATTTATGATGTCATCATAATTATTATCATCAGAAAAAAAATCATCACTATTAGGGCATGTATTTGTGTACGTGGACTGATAAAATTTGTTTGATTTTACTTTGTTTCGATTTTCACACTGAAAACTAACACGTCTTGCTCGATAGTCAATCATCATCAGTTTTTGCAGATAAGAAAGAGCAAGTTCTTGTTCTGTGCATCGAACAGGGTTACTTTGAATCGGAGACATGTTGATAACACATACATCACTTGTGTGTAATTTCTTAGGGTAGTAGTTTATCAGTGCGAGTCTTTCAAGCAGATTCCATAACTCTTCATTATTTTGTCGTGGTTGAATCGATGGTTTATTTTGGAATTCTTCTTGCCTTAAAAACGCGTCCTCTTCCCCCTCCGCCTGGGAAATTGTTCTTGCATTTTGCATCGTACGCTCTTTCTTTGAACTACATGTTTGTTCCTTGAAAGTTCCAGCGATGATGGATTCCAGCATCATATCAAGTTTATCCCAGTCAGTTGGCCCTATTTCACTGCATTTCATCACGTGGGAAACTTCAGCACACATTGCTTCTTCGACCTGGGATCTCATGAAATCGAACTGTTTTCTCTTTTCGGCAAGAGTCCGTACATTAGACAAACCTGTCCGTAACACGTATGCCTGAGCTCTGGATTTGTCTTGTTGCATCAGTCTAGAGTACTCTCCGTAAGCTGACTCTAGTGCACGTTGAAGCTGATCAATGTTGTCGTAACTCAGGGGATGTTGAAATCGTTTTTCTTTTACACAATAGCCAACAGCAGAAGCGACTGAAGTGATGAGTAGCTCTTGTTCGATGAGTTTTGTTGTTCTCAGTGATTGGCAGAATAAATTAAATGCATGTGTGATTTCTTTGCTTATTTTCTCATCTCTTTCCGAATAAGTTGGTGAAAAGTCAACTTTTATATGTTCTTCTGCTTTTGTTAAGATGTTCACGAGATCTTTAAAGTCAGATAATTGAGTAAGGACTCCTTCAGACTCATTCAGCCACTGCATAATGGAGGCGAATTGTGGAAAACTGTCAACTTCACAGCTGTTTGGCTCCATAATAGACCGCATAAGCTCTGTGATTTTCACCGTTTTGGCAGGTGCTGTAACAAGATTTGACAAAAATGATTGGAGGGCTGGGTGAGATAAACAGGTGTTCATCCAAATTAAATTGCTTTTCGTTTCATCATATAACGTTTGTTTCAAATCAAGTAGCTTTTTTAGATTATTTTCCATGTCGGATTCTTGCCAATGTTTAATATCTTGCATCACTGACCTGGCTTTAGCATTAGCAGAGACCAATATATCCTCAAGACAAAAACTAGGATTTTGGTTTGTCAAAAGTGTGTATGCCTCCTTGAGCCTGCTAGCTATCAAGGTATTTTGAAAAATATCCTTGTGGTTAAACTTGACAATTTCCCACACTGGAACCAATGATGTCCCTCGGTCAATGACAGACCACGCCTTGGTGTTGGAGACAATGTCAGTTTTCCATTGTTGAAGAGAATAAATGCCAGGTGATCCACCTATTGCACCTACGGAAAATGTCACCTTACTAAGACGTGGAGCATTGTATTTTTCAGAAAATTCCGTTGTAAATTCGGATGCCATTCTGCTCACACCGCCTGCACTGCCACTGCTGTTGTAGGCAGAAGTGGAATACTGTTCCACTGCCTCCGATAGCATATTTCTCTCTTCCTTTTCCTCATCTGAGCTGATGCCCTCTGTCGACGCTTTCCACTTAAATATCCCACCAAAGTGGACAGGGCCTGTATGGGCATGAGAGCCAAAGGTCTCAAAAAAACTTCTAAACCTGCTTCTTAGCACGTGCGTTTTAAAAGAATCCCTGGCGGTTTTAAAAGTGTTTTCAACGCTTTGTAATGCCTCCAACGCCTCATCAGACAGCTTGAGTCGATCAAAGTCAAGACGTCCTGAGGCAAGTGGTAGGTACAGGTATTTGGCGCAGTGAATGCAGGTATCCGTGGGATTTTCTTGTTGCTTGTCTTCAATGTGTAATGCCTTGCTATGCCGCGAGTTGATTTCTTCATTCAAGGCCTCTAGGAAACCTTCTGTCGTCATCGTATTGAATCCCATTATTTCCACTGCCGTCTCAAATATGTTTTCCTCTTCAGACGATGAAAACCCTTGTTTCTTTATCATCGGCTGATGTACTGGGCCATCAAGATCAAACGACATCGGGATGTTTAAGAGTTTGCCTCTTTTCTTTAACCTATCCTTTATTTGACCAGTTCGATACACCCCCTCCAAAGCAAGTCCTTTAGATGCATTTTGTAAAAGACTGAGATGTGAAATAGTCCCACGTAAAGTTGAAATGTCCGCTAAATCTAACTGCTTTAGAGAAGTGTTTGCCATATAATTGGAATGGCTGCCATCACACAATGGGGTTTCTTTTGCTCCTTTCAATTCCATTCGCTGCTCTGCCTCAGTCTCTATGTTGGCCTCACCACTGCGAGTTAATGTTTTCTGATGTATTTGTTCTGGATGCTGCTTTGTTGGTGCATCTTGCTTCTGTTTATTTCCAATCGGCTCACATTGCTGCGATTGTTTTGAAACAACTACATCATTGCCCGACATTTCCAACAACTTACATAATGCCTTTTTCTCCCATGAATGCCGGCAGTGTGGCCCTATGATTTGAAATTCCTCAGCGCCACAATACTGCAATGCTTGTAGATGGGTAATATCCAAAATATCTCGTAGTTTTGGAATCCAAAAAGTTGCATTAAGACCTAAGTCCGTAAGTACTTTGGCAAGCTCATCCTGAGCTCTAATGTCGTGGTCCTCCGCTTTAGACATAGCCTTGAACGCACACACAGACACCGTCCTTGATTAGATATACAACTTTTTGATTTAAAGCTTTCGTGAGTAATTGCAGTAATTGATATTCTTAGCTCTTTCGGTAAAGTCACGTTGAAGGGAAAACAATAAAGTAATAAAATATATATAAAACAATAAAAATTTCTCACGACGTTTCGACCATAACGCAAACGGTCATCATCAGGTGTGAAAAAGCAACGGCAAGAAAAATGTGAAAGAAGCGGCGGCCCGCATTTATTTATTTATTTAAGCGGCGTTTTATTTATTTCAATGTTTTTATTGCTTTATATATTTTATTACTTTATTGTTTCCCCTTTAACGTGACTTTACCGAAAGAGCTAAGCATATAGATATACAACATTTAACAATAATACAAATCAATGTATAATTCAGTTGAATATTGAATGTTGTTTTTAATCATAGCATAACAAATATTCAGACGAATAACCAAAGTCCATCGCCTATTTTAACGTCAAACATCTCTGAGAAATATAAAATAAAGAATATGACTATTAAATAAAGTATTTCCTAATACCTACCATGCTTATCTACGTTTTTAATAATACAAATTAAATATATATCTACAATTTAGATATTTCAACGATTGATTAAGCCGTTGCATGTTGAAATTTGGAATATAACAGCGCGAAATGCATTCCTGCAACGGGCCCAATTTTCTCAAGCGACTAATGGGAAGTGTTTTGACTTACCGTGCTACAACAAGCAGCTCTTCAGCCATGGCACCATAGCTAATGGATCAATCCTGCCCAGCTCCTGTGCTCAAGCTCAACACGCGGTACTCATGCCACTTGGCCCGAAACTTTTTTAACTAAAAAAAAAAACAACTACTTTCCAATTAAATTTTGATTTAAAGCTTTCGTGACTGCAGTAATTCATATTCTTAGTTTTTTCGGTAAAGTCACGTATGAAGAGAAACAACAAAATAATGAAATATATATAAAACAATACAAAATTCTCACGACGTTTCGACCATAACTCAAACGGTCATCTTCAGGTGTGAGAACGTTTTTGGCTGCATGTCATTTCCCAATGCCAATGTTGATAAAAGTCGGTCTTCATCCAATGCTACACCGGCCCCTAGAGGGAGTAGTAGTAAGGGGTGTACTGGGGTGGGGCCAACGTCACAAGTTTGTGCGGCGCCTGGAGTTGACAGATGGGGGGGGATACTATGAGGTCTGGTCTTAGAGATTGTGTGTCTACTGTAAGGTGTGGTGGTATCAAGAGCTTTGACCGTGATGACATCTTGATCTGGAACGCCAATGCTCTTTGTGCCGGAGTGAGCTAAGGCCACACACGCATACGCTGTGTGCCCCTTGCGCGAGAGTTGGGTGGTCTTAGGCACTGCTCAAAGCCACAATCACACTGGGGTCAGTTCATCGCCTGGGAATAATGTGTTGGACATTACATTACATTATCCCAATGTGATATTGCACGTTACATTATCCCTATGTGATAACGTAATGTACAGCACATTATTCATTGCAGTGGCTGCTGAAGTGGTGATGGCCATTGCTTTTTCGGGGGCTTGTGTACATTGATTGCCATCGCATGACCAACCATGACGGTCATTATTCTCACGTGCCGTCACTTGTGGTACTGCACTTGAGAGCACGGCCCTTTAGCCATTGACTCATGCAGATGGTGAGGTGATGTTTAGGTTGGTTAATGGCAGCACCAATGGTGATTTAAAGCTTTCGTGACTGCATGGATTCATCTTCTTGGTTCTTTCGGTAAAGTCACCACGTAGAAGGGAAATAATACAACAATTAAAATAAATAATAATCAAATAAAATTCTCGCGACGTTTCGGCCACAGCACAAGCAGGCGTCCTCAGGTGAAGGAACAGAACTGTCGGAAAGACAGCGCTCCAGTGAACACTGCTAAGCTTGGCAGCGTCTGTGATAGACTTTAACAACCTGCTAATCTATCACATTAACATAGCTACTTCAATGCTACATTCTTCTGTTGATATGTAAACTCCTTTGTCAAGGCGCTCTGCTCCTCCCACCCAGCTTAAAAGACGCAGCCAAGCTTAGCAGTGTTCATTGGAACGCTGTTTTTCCGACAGCTCTGTCTCTTCACCTGAGGACGGCTGCTTGTGTTGTGGCCGAAACGTCGTGATAATTTTTTTATATATATATTATTTCCCTTCTACGTGACTTTACCGAAAGAACCAAGAAGAAGCACCAATGGTGTTAATAATATTTTTTCTGTAACTTGCTATCCGCGTGCTGGGACAGAATGGTATGCTCTTTTTTTGAATGAAAAAATGTCTACGTCTGCTTTTAGGCTCATCATAACTACAGTACCATATGAACAATTATATGTTTTGACTGCAGTCTCCCTAATTCTGTATGAAGTGTTTATTTTTTTCAAATGCGTAATCCACTTTGAAGCTGTGAATAGCAATTATTATATGCATAGACTACTTTACAACGAAAATAAACACCAATTCATGAATATATAATACTATTTCAATTTTGACTTAAAGCTTTCGTGACTGCAGGAATTAATATTCTTTGTGTCTTTCGGTAAAGTCACGTAGATAGTTCCAAAGAAAATAACAGAAAAATAACAAAAAACTACGACGTTTCGATCGCAACACAAGCGGCCATCACCAGGAAAAGGGGCTTAGCTTCTAAAGACAAACTGTTTATAAAGGTTTGAAATGAGCGTAGCTCAAATGTCAGCAGCCAAGGTTCATGGAAGTGGTGGGCAGCGGTGGTGGGCTTTCCACCAATCATTGGTGCCGCCATCTACCAACCTAAAGCTATCCAAATATATATATAGACAGAGACCCAATTTAAACTGAGAAGATTGGTACAAACTGAGCACTCATTGAAACGACGTTATTAACCAGTTTAAGTCATAGCTGGCTGTGATGTTCCCATCCCACTACCTTCCGACGTTAGTTGTTATTTTCGGCTCTCCGATTTTTTTTTTACATTAACAGGTTAAATTATATTCTTAGTTCTTTCGGTAAAGTCACGTTGAAGGGAAACAATAAAATAATAAAATATACATTAAACAATAAAAATTCTCACGACGTTTCGACCATAACACAAACGGTCGTCATCAGGTGTGTCGGTTTACAGATTACATTTCTCACACTCACACAGCCACCTCGCGTGCCATCCTCGAGACTGCTGCTAGGCGATCTTCCACGAACACGCTAACGCAGACACGGGCAAAGTATATGGCCCCTTTGGGATTTTTAATCCGGCCCGCCGAAATTGTCCAAATATGCTTATTATTATTAAATTAAATTTTACCTTTCTCCTGTAATGCCACCCATTTCCCCGATAGATGGCGCACTTTGACCATCAATCTGTTCCTGGCCCCGGCCCCTCTGTCAAATTTTAGAACCCATTGTGGCCCGCGAGTCAAAAAAATTTGTGCCCAACCCCTGTGCTAATCTCTCACGTTAATGTGATGAGCAACTTCCACAGCACGTCGTATAGATGGTACTTCTCTTTATTTCTCTCACTGGGTACAACACCGGCCAACGCGGGTTCTTCCTCACCTGAATACATGTACATGCCCGTCTGAAGTTTGCCAGTGAACATCTGAATGATCCACAGGACAACTGGGTGAAAGTGTTGTGGTCAGATGAGACCAAAATGGAGCTCTTTGGCATCAACTCAACTCGCTGTGTTTGGAGGAGGAATGCTGCCTATGACCCCAAGAACACCATCCCCACCGTCAAACATGGAGGTGGAAACATTATGCTTTGGGGGGTGTTTTTCTACTAAGGGGACAGGACAACTTCACCGCATCAAAGGGACGATGGACGGGGCCATGTACCGTCAAATCTTGGGTGAGAACCTCCTTCCCTCAGCCAGGGCATTGAAAATGGGTCGTGGATGGGTATTCCAGCATGACAATGACCCAAAACACACGGCCAAGGCAACAAAGGAGTGGCTCAAGAAGAAGCACATTAAGGTCCTGGAGTGGCCTAGCCAGTCACCAGACCTTAATTCCATAGAAAATCTGTGGAGGGAGCTGAAGGTTCGAGTTGCCAAACGTCAGCCTCGAAACCTTAATGACTTGGAGAAGATCTGCTAAGAGGAGTGGGACAAAATCGCTCCTGTGATGTGTGCAAACCTGGTGGCCAACTACAAGAAACGTCTGACCTCTGTGATTGCCAACAAGGGTTTTGCCATCAAGGACTAATTCATGTTTTGCAAAGGGGGTCAAATACTTATTTCCCTCATTAAAATGCAAATCAATTTATAACATTTTCGACATGCGTTTTTCTGGATTTTGTTGTTGCTATTCTGTCTCTCGCTGTTCAAATAAACCCACCATTAAAATAATAGACTGATCATTTCTTTGTCAGTGGGCAAACGGACACAATCAGCAGGGGATCAAATACTTGTTTCCCTCACTGTATAACTCTAGGCAATTACACCTCTGCTGGCCACACGCACAGCCGGTCACTCGGCGTGGTCCCCTGGTCCTCACTCGTCACCGCCGCTGGCTGTACAGCGGCGGTGACGACGATGGCGGCGATGGAACCCACGCGTGTCACCCTGTCACGTGTCACCCTGTCACGTGTCACCCTGTCACCCTGTCACGTGTCACCCTGTCACGTGTCACCCTGTCACGTCAGCAGGTGTCACCCTGTCACGTGTCACCTTGTCACGTGTCACCCTGTCACGTGTCACCCTGTCACGTCAGCAGGCGTCACCCTGTCACGTGTCACCCTGTCACGTGTCACCCTGTCACGTCACCCTGTCACGTGTCACCCTGTCACGTGTGACCCTGTCACGTGTCACCCTGTCACATCAGCAGGTGTCACCCTGTCACGTCAGCAGGTGTCACCCTGTCACGTGTCACCCTGTCACGTCACCCTGTCACGTGTCACCCTGTCACGTGTCACCCTGTCACGTGTCACCATCTCACGTCAGCAGATGTCACCCTGTGACGTCAGCAGGCGTCACCCTGTCACGTGTCACCCTGTCACGTGTCACCCTGTCACGTGTCACCCTGTCACGTGTCACCCTGTCATAACATTAACGTAGCCACCTTGGCAGGCTCGCCATGGAACGTGCTCCACGATGTTACACTAACATGCAATTTATTTTTTCCTTGCAGCCCTTTGATTGGTTGGAAACCCCGCCACCGCCGCGGTCGCTACCCACCACTTTCATTGGCTGCTGACATTTGGGCCATGCCCATTTCAAACCTTTACAAACAGTTTGTCATCTTCTTTGGTTCTTTCGGTAAAGTCACCACCACGTAGAATGAGAATAAAATAATAAAATAAAATAACACAATAATATTCTCACGACGTTTCGGCCACAACACAAGCGGCCTTCATCAGGTGAAGGGACGAGACTGTCTGGAGGACAGCGCTGTCCTCCAGACAGAAGAAGGCCGCTTGTGTTGTGGCCGAAACGTCGTGAGAAATGTATTGTGTTATTTTATTTTATTATTTTATTCTTTTATTCTCATTCTACGTGGCGGTGACTTTACCGAAAGGACCAAAGAAGATGAATCCTTGCAGTCACGAAAGCTTTAAATCGAAACAGCTTGACTTTAGAAGCTAACCTCCCTTTTTTCCTGGTGACGACCGCTTGTGTTACGATCGAAACGTCGTAGTTTTTTGTTTGTTTGTTATTCTTTGCAATTATATTTGGACCGCCCTACCTGCCTGTACAGAAAGACCCAAAGAATATGATTTCAATGTATGTGTTTACTACAATTAGCACAATTGAGCGTGCCATTTACGTGACAGGGACATTCCAGCCGTGATGCCAACAGCAACCTAAATGTTCGCAATGCAAGTGCCAGAGTTGACCGTCTCACGGACTCACCTCTCGCTTGCTCAGAGCGCAAAGGAGGCTGGAACCCTCTTCCTGACCCTCTTCATCGACAGACAAGTGCGATGGTGCGGTGGAGTTGCACTGTGTCCAGCTTGAAAATATAAACACACCAAACACGTGATTAATTGTTTTCACCGTACACTACAAAGCAACCACAGTTTCAGATAACTGTGAACTATGCATGGGTTTACCGACTCACGTAGACTTTCATTTGAAGGTTATTACAACAACATACACATTTATGCAGCATCTAAATATAGGTTAATGTGAACAAAACCATTAACACGGGATGAATCGCAAAAGCATGGCGGGAGGTGTTGGTCATTGTAAAACTCGAACCCGACAAGCCAACCAATGAGCTGGGAAGCTATGGGCCAATATGACTCCTGTTGTGAACGACCTACAAACTCCTGGAGCGCATCATGATATCGGAGGATCAACCCCCTCGTCAAGTCAGTGATCGCCGGAGAACAAGCGGGATGTGTGGACTTCTCTCATAGGACTATAACACGGCCTGGATTAAAGGACTTGATGTGGAAGCTCACAAGGACCATTCCTTGCCTCAAAAAGAATCCTCCTGATGTGGACGATGCTGATCAATAGCTCAATAGCGTGTCCATATGAGCAACATATAAACCATATTCTTAGTTTTTCCGGTAAAGTCACGTTGAAGAGAAACAACAAAATAAAAAAAAATATATAAAACAATAAAAAAAATTCTCACGACGTTTCGACCATAACTCAAACGGTCGTCTTGAGTTATGGTCGAAACGTCGTGAGAATTTTTTTTATTGTTTTATATATATATTATTATTTTGTTGTTTCTCTTCAACGTGACTTTACCGAAAAAACTAAGAATATGAATTACTGCAGTCACGAAAGCTTTAAATCAACATATAAACCAGTTTAACACGTAGTAGGCTTTCGCGACCAATATTATTCATAATAAAGGTTTTTGGGTTAGATCGCGTTTATTTATAAATGTGTCGTAACCCTCCACCACCCGACACGGCCAATCAGCAAAAAAAGTGTCACGTTGACAAAAGACAAATAATTCACTACTTCAGCCCACCGGTGTGTTGAAGAGTTAATCCACATTTACAGTTTGAGTTGTACGACGTTTCGCTGGTAAATACATCCAGCATCATCGGGCAATTCGCCAGAATGGTAAAGCCCTCCCTTGCTCCCGGTTTTATATAGAGCAGAGAATCCATTGAAATTGAGAGGAACAAGAATAACTTTAATCGCTCTGACAGCTACCGGCTTAGTGCGGCCTGGAAGCGTATTATTAAACAATACACATTACATTTTGATTTAAAGAATTACTAATCTACAACTCATTACTAATCATAACCAATGACTGATTACTAATCGATTATATAATTACAATACCCCCCCCCCTCCGCCTCTAATCACTGCACCTGACATGAGTTAAATGATGACGTCACCCTGCTGCTCTATATAAAACCGGGAGCAAGCGAGGGCTTTACCATTCTGGCGAATTGCCCGATGATGCTGGAAGTATTTACCAGCGAAACGTCGTACTCAAACTGTAAATATGGATTCGCTCTTCAACACACCGGTGGGCTGAAGTAGTGAATTATTTTTGTCTTTTTGTCAACGTGACACTTTTTTTTGCTGATTGGCCGTGTCGGGTGGTGGAGGGTTTTACGACACATTCATAAATAAACGCGATCTAACCCAAAAACCTTTATTATGAATAATATAAACCAGCTCACCCTGGCCCCTCACTGCATAAACAGTCGACCCTTCTGCATCGCGACTTTCCTCATTGCGGGTTCTATATATAATTAAATGGGAATTATTATTATTTTGGGGAGTTTCGCGAAAACCCGCAGACGACACGCGGAGGCCTGCAAATGGCACGCGAAGAGTTTGGCGACGCACAGATGATGCATCAAACGGATGCATAACATCCATGTGCTTATTGTCTCATACCGTCAATATACGCAATTGTTTGTTCGAGTAACAAAAATTGTGTTTTGTGAATTGTTAGTTTGTGCGTTGGTTTGGAGGATGCCAAGCTTCGTTCACAGCCCCCCCCCCCCCTGAACCCCCCGGCTGGAGGTGATCGCTTCGTTCGCTCGCCAAGGGGACCAAAACATTTTACGCGGTTTTTTTTCCAGACATCGGGGGGGGGGGGGGGGGGGGTCCTGCGCCCCTAATCCCCTGCGATGTGAAAGGGTCGACTTAGGTCTGAACGATTAATCGATTTCAAATCGAGTTCGCGATTTGAAACAATGCGATTAGCAAATCGCAAAGGCTGCGATTTTTTTTGGCGATTTGAAAAGTCCGATTACTTTCTTATTTGAATTGTTATATTTTTTTATTATTATTATAACTTTCTTTATTTAACTTAGCAATTGTTCTATGTTTGATTGTTCTATTTGAATTAAAACATTTTAATGCATACATGTTGGAAGCAATTCATATATTTAAGTTCTCATCCTTGCATTAGAATATATAGAGCAGTCCGTATATTGATGGCATCACGTGGTAATGCTCCATCACGTGATTTAAATTTACTAACACAGTGAATATTGAATTGAAGCATGACTTCAACAATTTAATCGCAAATCAAATCGCATTCGCAACATGTCAGAAAAATCGCAATTCGATATTTTCCCCAAATCGTTCAGCCCTAGATCAACTGTATGCCTGTTATATATATTTTTATTTTGTCTTGTCTATTTTGAATGTCGCAGTTCCTGACAGACAAATATGCATTCACTGCATGCCAGAAGTCGGGAAAACCAGAAGGCGAAGCCACAACAGCACTAGAATGGGCATGATGAGAATATTCTAGATTTAAAGCTTTCGTGACTGCAAGGATCCATACTCTTTGGTTCAATTGGGTAAAGTCACGTAGGTAAACAGTAAAATAACAAAAATCACGACGTTTCGGCCACAACACAAGCGGCCTTCATCAGGTGAAGGGACGAGACTGTCTGGAGGACAGCGCTGGAGTGGGAGAAGCCGGGCTTAGATCGCGAACTTTAAGCTGTGTGATCACACAAGCTTAAAGGTCGTGATCTGAGCGTGGCATTTTTCACTCCAGCGCTGTCCTCCAGACAGTCTCGTCCCTTCACCTGATGAAGGCCGCTTGTGTTGTGGCCGAAACGTCGTGATTTTTGTTATTTTATTTTTTACCTACGTGACTTTACCCAATAGAACCAAAGAGTATGATGGAGAATAACCAGAGCCTGAGGAGGGCCCTAGAAGCCGTAGTACATTTTGCTTCCTCGGGAATTAGCCTAACTCGTGTAGCGATGGAGGAAGTAGTTCATGACAGGCCATAGAGGAATAATTCTTGCATGGGCAAGGAGTGACCCAGGGGAATTTCTGAGAGAGAATTTACGCAGGGGTGGACCCATGGCACAAGACCACAAACTCGCTGCTCACCCAAGGGCAAATCCCGGGCAGAGAGACAAGAATGTCCATTGGCGTTCCACTCTCTGAATTAACAAACCCTGGTGCCTTGAAAGTTGAAACGTTCAAATGCCAACCATGCATATGAACATTCTTAAACATCACGGCATTAAACATTACCTTTGGTGATTGGACATATTGTTAAGTGGCAATGCAGCACATAGTCAGGGGGTTGTGAATACGACGAGTTGCATCTTTTATTACATCCACTTATCAATGTATGAGTGCCATGAGAGCTGGGTTAAGCATATAAACTTGATAATGACGTGTGGAAGTTTTGTATTGAAGAATTGGACAAAATGATCATGAATAAAATAGACGTTATACGAATTACGTCTAATCTCCACGACAAAAATTTTTTTGCGAGTATTCCAGAGGTATAACCAGAGCCTGCCAACGGCCGTTGTCATCCCATTGCATGCTACAGCAGGAATTAATTTGAAGGATGAGTCGTCCTTAACGAAGGAGGAAAGCCGTTTCACAATAAACGTGGCATGGCTACAGACACACACACACACACCCACACTACACGTAGGGGCAATCAAGTGGCTCTGTGCTCACACACATCGTGGGATGAGTTTGATAGGGGGTTATGACATCAAGTGTCAGGATGTCTGCGGAGCCAGAACCAGGGGTGATCTCAGGCTCACCCGATGGATGCACCACCACGTGTGCAAAGGTGGAGGGAGAATGTCGGGCCGTAATGTATACTAGGTAATTCATCACATGAGCTAGACATTATATATATAAAAAAAAAACAGCACACAATCTTAATTTGTTAGTTCTGCACGGGCAGACTCCAAGGACTTGCCCTGATGACTGGCAACAGAGTTCAGTTCCTGCTGAGGTACACGAAGTGTCACTAGAAGGATTATTCATAATAGAGGTTTTTGGGTTAGATCGCGTTTATTTATAAATGTGTCGTAACCCTCCACCACCCGACACGGCCAATCAGCAAAAAAAGCGCGTCACGTTGACAAAAGACAAATAGTTGACTACTTTAGCCCACCGGTGTGTTGAAGAGTGAATCCACAACATTTACAGTTTGAGTACTGTGACGTTTCGCTGGTAAATACATCACCAGCATCATCGGGAAATTCGCCAGAATGGTAAAGCCCTCGCTTGCTCCCGGTTTTATATAGAGCAGCAGCAGGGTGACGTCATCACTTAACTCATATCAGGTGCAGTGATTAGAGGCGGAGGGGGGGGGGTATTGTAATTATATAATCGATTAGTAATCAGCCATTGGCTATGATTAGTAATGAGTTGTAGATTAGTAATTCTTTAAATCAAAATGTAATGTGTGTTATTTAATAATACGCTTCCAGGCCGCACGTCATACTCAAACTGTAAATGTTGTGGATTCACTCTTCAACACACCGGTGGGCTAAAGTAGTGAACTATTTTGTCTTTTTGTCAACGTGACACTTTTTTTGCTGATTGGCCGTGTCGGGTGGTGGAGGGTTACGACACATTTATAGATAAACGCGATCTAACCCAAAAACCTTTATTATGAATAATATTGGTCGCGAAAGCCTACGTGTTAGAAGGATTATATTCATCTTCTTGGTTCGCAGTGTTCATTGAAGCGCTGTCGTCCCGACGGTTCTGTTCCTTCACCTGAAGAAGGCCACTTGTGTTGTGGCCGAAACGTCGTGAGAATTTTATTTCAATTATGTTTCATTTTTGTTATTTCATTTCCCATTCTACGTGGTGGTGACTTTACCGACAGGATCAAGCAGATGAATCCCTGCAGTCACGAAAGCTTTCAGATCGAAAAGGATTATATTCATATTCTTAGTTTTTTCGGTAAAGTCACGTTGAAGAGAAATAATAAAATATATATAAAACAATAAAAAAATTCTCACGACGTTTCGACCATAACTCAAACGGTCGTCTTCAGGTGTATTGGTTCGCATAAATTTATTTTTAAACGGCGCATTTATTTATTTATTTTACAAACCCGTTAGCGCCACGCGCAGCGATTAGTCCTGGGTAAACTGCCAAATCGCTGCGCGTGGCGCTAACGGTTTTTTTTATAAATAAATAAATGCGCCGTTTAAAAATACATTTATGCGAACCAACACACCTGAAGACGACCATTTGAGTTATGGTCGAAACGTCGTGATAATTTTTTATTGTTTTATATATATTTTATTATTTTGTTGTTTCTCTTCAACGTGACTTTACCGAAAAAACTAAGAATATGAATTACTGCAGTCACGAAAGCTTTAAATCAAGGATTATATTGTTTTTTCGTTTGTTTGTTTGGGCCGCTTGCAGAGCCAAGGACTGCTCCGGCAGTGTTGCAATTAGTTCTGTGTAGCCGAAGAGAATTTGTTAATGAGAGCGCCCTAGCGGTGAGGACGTCTTATACAGCCCTTTTCGTGCCGCTGTCGTGCAAAGGAACGCTCTGTTAAATACTGCACGTTCATTGGAAAGGGCGGAGCCTGACGTACAAGACGTACAGGTTTCCATCGCTTTGTGGTTGTAAGAAGAAGGGTCACACACAAACCGAAACCACACGGGACAGCTTACCTGCCAAACAGTACACACACACACACAATGGTGTCCCACGTCCGATCACGAAGCCTGAAGAGAGCTACTTGTTTTAAAGCTTTCGTGACTGCAGTAATTCATATCCTTAGTTTTTTTCGGTAAAGTCACGTTGAAGAGAAACAACAAAATAATAAAATATATTCAGGTGACCGTTTGAGTTATGGTCGAAACGTCGTGAGAATTGTTTATTGTTTTATATATATTTTATTATTTTGTTGTTTCTCTTCAACGTGACTTTACCGAAAAAAAACTAAGAATAGGGCTACTTGTGTTGTGGCCGAAACGTCGTGAGAATTGTATTGTCTTATTTTATTATTTTATTCTCATTCTACGTGACTTTACCGAAAGGACCAAAGATAAAGAAGAATTTGAATTGCATTTAGCGAATTTTGGGTAGAAATACATTCGAATTGGGAGCTTTCGTGACTGCAGGAATTAATCTTTGGGGTTTTTTTTTCGGTAAAGTCACGTAGAAATAATAAAATAACATAATAGTGTACGACGTTTCGCTTGCAACACAAGCAATCATCACCAGGTACAGAAGAGCTAAATTTACGAGAGAGAGAGAGAGGAGACGCGTAACCGCAGGTATATATACAGACACAGATACAACAGGGGATGCAGAGAGAGAGAGAAACGTGGGAGCACACTAAACCAAACAAGGCTTTAGCAAGATTGCTAAATTAACTTACAATTGAGCAATCTTTGAAATAACGTTATCAACCTGACCTTGCGTTAATTGTGTTTTGACCGACCGTCTGTGTTGCGTTATAGAGTTTCCAAATCTTGCTAAAGCCTTGTTTGGTTTAGTGTGCTCCCACGTTTCTCTCTCTCTCTGTGTATCTGTGTCTGTATATATATCTGCGGTTATGTGTCTCCTCTCTCTCTCGTAAATTTAGCTCTTCTGTACCTGACGATGATTGCTTGTCTTGCAATCGAAACGTCGTACACCATTATGCTATTTTATTACTTCCACGCGACTTTACCGGAAAAAAAAACAAAGATTAGAAATGCATTCGTCCAATATGCATTAATATTACACAAACCGAACCCGCATAAAGCGAGAGAAACCTTTACTCACTAGCAGCCACCTCAAGTCTACACAGCGTCACTTGTATGTGCAATTCTTTACGTACACATGCACACATCTCCATGCACACTTTGGTGTTGAGATTGTGTCCTGTGTTTTGAACCTAGGCATTATATGTTCACCACAAGTGTACGTGGTTAATGCAGTCATGATTCCTTGCAATGGTTGCGAGTTTGGTGTTTTAACATCTTAACACCTCTCTTAGCCTGAGTTTCTGTTCCATATTTGTCGTTAATGACCACAAGTCCGAACACTGTCAAAGAAGGTAGTATGCACTGTGACTGGCACATCAGTAGATAATGCGTTTGATTAGATAAAGACTATTAGGGGAGTCGCAAACAGTGCGAAAGGGCTAATGTTGTGTTTGGGCTAGAGATAGTATTACAAACCAACATCAAGTTTCGCGTAAGAGCAAGTGTTCAGGCAAGATTAATGTTTGACATATTTTTAAAACGTAATTTTTGTTGTTGTCTAGATTGTAATAACTTATAATATTTCACTATTGTGGTGTGTTTGCATGCAGTCCGATATTACAGGGCCATCTGTTCAACCTATTTAGCATCGCTAACCCATTAGGCATTAACATGCAGTTTAACATGGTATTATTGTTTTAAACATAGCCTGTTAACATACCTGATTTATAATAGCCAGCCTATATTAACCACACATAGTCTAGACAATGTACGTTCTAACATATATACCGCAAATAATTTACCCGTAACTGATTTAAATAGTTTTAGCCTATTGCCGGCCAATGTGCAGCTGAATAACATCTTCTACAATACTCACGATGTCCAGGTGATGGAGAGCCGTAGGGCGCAAGTAATTCGCTCCGTCTCTTCTGCTCTCTGGATTCACCCCGGGCTTTATACTCAGATTCACAAAAAAGGTGGAGCTTCCCAGACTCCACCCAGCGCTTGATAATAACGAATGCGTATGTGCCTGTGTGTGAGAGACGCACGCGAATGTCCTTTGAGTTGTTGAATATTTAATATCACCTAGGCAGCGAGGATAGCGTATAAAGAAGGAGTCTCTCAAGGAATCGGGCAATGAGATATCATTTCCAAATTATACTACGGCTCTCAAAGGCCAAGGGCTAACACTGTTTTTACCAATTGATCTACATAACGACACCTTGCCGATATTAACTATGTTACCCTATTTGTATTTTTTATTTTTAAATTATATCTTAAAGCTATTTTATATTCGATATTTATTTATTTTATATACTTCAGCCCCTTGGTGTTAGACTTTTAACCCTCATTATAGTAAGACTTGTTTAAAACTTATTTAAGATTTTAGATTCCTAAATGTTGAATGTATGCACTATCCTGCCAAAGTAAATTCCGTGTCGGTGTGAACTTACATGGCGAATAAAACCCTTTCTGATTCTGATTCAAAGCACTAACACTTAAATCATACACGAACTTGTTATGCATTCATGTGGATCATCATGGGCGAAAGGACAAATAAGCAGAGCTCCATTCTATATCCACATTTAAATAGAAAAATAGTTCAGTCCATCCACCGTTTATTTTTCCAGGCGAACATCAATCACAAAAGCGGCATTTGTAGGCAGTCAAACTACAGACTGGTCTCGATGTGCTGATCATATCCAGCATTTCTGATGTTTGTTTTGGCTCAAATCTATACTTCTGTGAGCTTTTCTTGCTTGGAAAGCATCCCACTGTTTCAGAAGAAAGCAAGACAGCCAACCCCACATTTAGATCATCAAAGTGCACCTAGCCTGGCACAGGCGTCGTGGTGATGTCGCCGGCACTTCGTGGCGAATGGCGGTTGTATTGGCATTGCTGTGTGGGGAGCGGTAGTGTAGCGGTGAGCGCACTGCGCTGAAAAAGTGGCGACCCGAGTTCGATTTTTGCTCACGGCCAACATCGGTGGCTGGGTGTGGTGTGTAAACATCGCCACTGGGGAGACAAAGGGGGCCGGTTGTGGTGTTGGCCACCGCCACTCCCTCGTGTGCCGTGCCGGCCTTCATCGGAGCTACTCACTATCAGCACTTGCCCCCTAAGACTGTTAAGGATACATGGGGGATCATTGTCGTCGCGGTGTGTGTGTGTGTGTCTGTGTGTGTGTCTGTGTGTGTGTCTGTGTGTGTGTATGTGTCTGTCTGTCTGTGTGTGTGTCTCTGTGTGTGTGTCTGTCTGTCTGTGTGTGTCTCTCTGTGTGTGTCTCTGTGTGTGTCTGTGTCTCTGTGTCTGTCTGTCTGTGTGTGTGTCTGTGTGTGTGTCTGTGTGTGTGTCTCTGTGTCTGTCTGTCTGTGTATGTCTCTCTGTGTGTGTCTCTGTGTGTGTGTCTGTGTGTGTGTCTCTGTGTGTGTCTGTCTGTGTATGTCTCTCTGTGTGTGTCTCTGTGTGTGTGTGTCTGTGTGTGTGTCTCTGTGTGTGTGTCTGTCTGTGTGTGTCTGTGTGTGTGTGTCTCTGCTTGTGGGGAGCGATAGTGTAGCGGTTAGCGTGCTGCGCTATGAACCTGGCGACCCGGGTTCGATTCCCGCTCACGGCCAACACCAGTGACGATTTTCTGAACCGGTCCTGGGCCTCCCCTAGGTCGACTCGGCCTCAAATGAGTACCTGGTGCGGTGTGTATACATCGCCACTAGGGAGACAAAGGCGGTCGGGCGTGGTGCTGGCCACCCACCCCCTCGTGTACCGTTCCGGCCTTCATAGGTGCTCGCTAACAGCACTTGCCCCTACAGGCTATATGGGGGACCTTTTGTTTTTGTCTCTGTGTGTGTCTGTGTGTGTGTTTGTCTGTGTGTGTCTGTGTGTGTGTTGGTGTCTGAAATTGTGGTAACTCATTGCCCCCATTCTGACTAGCATCAGGAACCAAGGTTCATGAAAATAAAACATTTTTTTCTATTCATGTTACTATATTTTATGTTTCATTTGATTTATTACACAGTATTTTATATTGTTACATGGAAAAGTGCAATACTCCTAATTGTGAGTTCGACTGCTTCTGTTTCTGTTGAACCTTAGCACATTTTCTTTGGTTCTTTCGGTAAAGTCACGTAGAATGAGAATAAAATAATAAAATGATAAAATAAAATAACACAATAAAATTCTCACGACGTTTCGGCCACAACACAAGCGGCCTTCAGACAGTCTCGTCCCTTCACCTGATGTTTTTAATCAGTCATGAAGGAATAACCCGAGGACTGCCCGTATTCCTTCATGACTGATTAAAAACATACAATTATCTCCTAAACCGGAGCGTCCCTGCTTCCACCCCTGATTATTATGGTTGGCTACATACGGTGCAAACTAATTTCAACGTAAATAAAATGAGTCTGTACCACAGCCTGTAAATCAGTGTCTACATATGTAGGCAATTAAGGGTATTTATGTCCATATATTCCCGAACGCTTGGTTTATAATTTAGAGAAGAAAAAAAATCAGTCCTATTTTATACAATGCTGTTTTTATTAAGTTTATACAAATAGATGCCACCATGCATGCATACCAGTTTTTTTTTTATTTCGTTATCATTTGATAAAGTAGTAACGAATGGATGGATGTGCGTGCGCTGTCTCAGAACTCGTGGTTTGTCCCGAATCATGTAAAATATATATAAAACAATAAAAATTCTCACGACGTTTCGACCACAACACAAACGGTCGTGAGAATTTTTATTGTTTTATATATATTTTATTATTTCATCGTTTCCCTTCAACGTGACTTTACCGAAAGAGCTAAGAATATGAATTACTGCAGTCATGAAAGCTTTAAATCAAAATTTAAATCAGTCCTACTTTTATCCAATGTTGTTTTTGTTATGTTTATTCAAATGGATGCCACTACGCATGCATACCAGTTTCCTATTTTGTTATCATTTGCTAAAGTAGTAACGAATGAATGGATGTGTGTGTGCTGTCTTAGAACTCGTGGTTTGTCCCGAATCATGTTCAAATGTTCATGACATTTGAACATGATTCTCATATACAATGCCATTGTTTCTCAAAGCTGTTTTCTTAAGATTGCGTAAAAAGATTCCACTCTCCAGTCTTGCCTTTACAATACATTCCTCCTTATAATCACGCGTCAACATGCTCTACCAGATTTTCTTGAACATTTTTGCTTGCATTGTGACTTTCATAGAATCTTAAATATGCCAGTGCCATCCATCAAATGTCTCTCAGAATGTAGTCTTTTACTTGACAGGTGCATTTTATCACTCACACTTGTACATAAGTATGCAGATGTTGCTCATTTGTAAGTGTTTTGTTAGCATATGTGATCACCTGCATTTGTACATTTGATTTAATTTTCATCTTTACATTTTCTCGTAAAAAAAACCTTTTTGAGATGTGTGTAAGCATCAAACTACTGACTTTGAAAGTTAAAAAAAGCGTTAATCTTTACACGTATATCCATTGGGATGTATAATGTTTGACTCGAGAAAAACACATTCATTGTAGTTTCCCTGATGTGCAAATTCGGCTGTATGACAAACTATCGTGAATGACTGAAAACTTTACACACACTGGCTTCCTTTTAACTCATCATCGTTTACACTTTTCTGTAAACTTGAGCAACCTTTTGCACCCTTTAATTTTGGCAAAGTACGTCTGTGCAAAATTTACATGCAAAAACATCCCAGGAACATGGGCAGCAGCGCGAAAAGACGTCACAAAACTTAGTTCGAATCGAGTAAGAATATGGATGCACATCTGGCGCTGTGACTGAGTTAAGAGGTCCCGTAGATATTTTTTGCGGATTTGTTTAAAAGCGCTTTCAGGATGAAGACAGCCCATGGCAGTGTTTTCGGATGTCAAGGGTGGTAAAATTACAAGCGATGTGAGGTTTGCTATGTTGAGTTCTATCGTGGGCATGAAGGGCAGAGTGGAGGGCCAATCGTTTAAAACCATTGCTCACCGCCTTCACCCGCCCCTGGCGCATGCGTCTCTCCGCCAAGAGCAAGTCAGCGGTGTCCTTGACGATGCAGGTGGGGGAGGGACGCGCGCCATGGAGGGCCCAGGTCCACCACCGCAGTTCGCCTCACCAGAATGTGTGTCGCCAGGGCACCGACATTTGATCTTTGAGAATTGACCTTAAGGCATTAAGCAGGAGTTGTAGATTATCAAAGGGCTGTCGTAGCTGCAGTTGTAAATCGTTCAATTTATTTCGCACCGTATGCAGCCAACCACGCTCATCAGAGGTTTCGGGGGAAGCACAACAAACTAAACACAAAGCAGTTCTGAAGAAATTGGTTTCCCATCTTGACTTAAAATTGCATTGCTCCAGCAGTTTCCCAATGTCGAAAGGAAGAGCGTTCCAGAAGGACAAAGTCGTCCACCTGATCGCATGCGGTGACCGTCTTTACTCGATGGCCAGTCAAAATCCCCTGCAAGGATGAGCAGAGGTCACGTGATGGTTTATGACCCTTGACGATATCAGAAAGTTTCGATTTGAAGCTTTCGTGACTGCAGGGATTCATCTGCTTGGTTCTTTCGGTAAAGTCACCTTCTACGTGGTGGTGACTTTCCCGAAAGAACCAAAGAAGATGAATCCCTGCAGTCACGAAAGCTTTAAATCGAAATTTAACCGCCTCTACGGGGAGAGATTTCACATAACCTTGAGATCCTTCAACAAACTCCGGGATAAGACGGCTCTTCTTATCCCGTACCTTGGTGTGGACCAATCAGTTTCAAGGAAAATGCATGTATTGCCATAGTATGTTTTTTGTTTGCATTTTGACTGCAGGTATTGTGGTTAATGCAGACATAAATCCTCGTAAAAAGGTTTCAGTTTTGTTGCCAGAAAAAAAGGGGAAAAACCCTATTATTACAAGAAGGCTAAGCTAATCGAGTCTGTCACCTTTCTAAAGAGATG